CACATGCTCAGTCCTCGCTTCAATTTGAGCCCAGGTCTGTGTCACCAGGACTGTGCTCCAACCCTGCCCTGCACTGTCCTTAGCCCTTGGGACCTTCCACCTAGCTATGGAAAGAGCACTGGACTGAGAGTCCAGAGCTTGATTCTGGCTCTGAACTGGCCCTTCACTGACACAGAAATGTCCTTGTGTGTCATTATGGGAAGGGGCATAGCTGCTCACAGTGTGGCTTCTTCAGTCACCAAAAGGACTTAACACCCACACCCAGCCTGCTTCCAGGGCAGCTTCAACACCGAGGGCTAGAGCAGACAGCAAGAGTGCTCTGTGCAGGAGAGAGCCTCAGCTTGCTGAGCACCTGCTCTGTGCCAAGCACTGCATGTTCACTCTCTGGCTACAGAATGGAGGCAGAAGATGGGTGGGTCATTGTCATTTTTGCAGACAAGGAAACTGAGGCCCGGAATAGCAAAAAAAGTCACTCGTGGGGTTTGTCACACAGCCAGGAGCTCAGGACTTAAATGCATCCTGTTCAATTCCAAGGCCCAGCCTCTCTGTCCCCCAGCCGTGTCCTAACTGAGTAAGCGACTGCAGAGCCTCTGCTCACCACCACTCTAAACTCTTAGCACCACTACCCATGCCAGGGGCCACTTCCTGCCAAAGGGGAGCATCATGAGCTCAGGTGAGCTGTTACTGAGGCTTAAGGCAACAGGGCCTGGTGAGCAGCACAGCAGCCAACATCAAGTGCCCTGAGGGTGCTGCTGTCCCTCCTACTGCCTTCCTGAGTGACCCACCAGCAATAGTCAGCCCGAAAGACAAAAGGAGATGAGGGTGCATCATAGAGGGGTGGAGGGGTGCAGTCCTCTGTCACCATGAGGGCAGGCTGCCTAAGACCCAAAGGCCAGCTATGCCCAGCCCCTTCAAATAAGTGTCACTGTCATCAACCAGCTCAGCCTGGGAGCCAGCTGGCCAGCCAAACAAGAGGGAGGCCCACAGGAGCCGAGTGGCCCTTATTCAGTGCCTTTTGTCTGTCTGTCCTGCTGCCTGGCCAGCCCCTCCCTCCCCTGCCAATGTGGCAGGCTCACTTCTCATCTCACTTCTGTCCTGTGGCCACCTCCCCACCTTTCAGAGCACCTGAGACATGTTAGTCAATAAGTGTTTATTGAGCACATACCATGTATGGGGTCCTGTGCTGGCCCCAGGCCATAGCAATGAGCAGAACCAGATGGGGCCTCTGCGTGCAAACAGTTCAATCCTAGAGGGGGAGATCATTGGTTATTAGTAATCCAGTAATCAATAATCTTCACAAAATGTAAATGTGGCCAGAAGCTGCTCTGAATACCCTAGCAGGGACCCCAGACCTCACCCAGGGGCCAGGGGACTGATGGAGGGGGAACTTGGGAACCAAGAGCTGAGGGCTCAACAAGGGAAGCAGGGCAGGGGACAGAGACAAACCCACTGCACCAGAAACATTTTGTTTCTATGCCAACAAGTCTGGTATAATCCACGACATCCTTCAAAAGGTCAGGCAGAATAACCTGTTCAATTGGAGCCCGTGGGTAACTACCCTTTCATTGGACTGGCTGGTCCCCTCATTTTGCTTTTTCTCAGGCTCTTGATTGGCCCTTGTATTTTTTTTATTTTTTTTGGTACTGGGGATCGAACTCAGGTCCTTGTGCTTGCACAGTATTTTTTTTTTTGTACCGGGGACCAAACTCAGGTCCTTTCAAGGAAGAAGTCTCACCAGGATGCACAAGACTTCAGGTCTAGTATCTCCCTCAGGAATTCTGACACACCTAGTGAGTCCTGAGGTACAAGCTAGCAAAGTGCTGTTAGGGGCAAGATAAGCCTTCAAGGTCTCCAGAGTGATGGTTTGGCTACACACAGCATGGAAAAGGGAGTTACTTATATAATAAGAAGAAGTTGCCAGACAGGTTGCATTTCCATAAACTTCACCAATTGTCAAGGGGGGCTTTGCAGAAGTGCATGCTAAGGCAGTACTTGAGGCTTTGATTGAACCCAGGACTCCCACACCCACATAATAAGTAGGCTTTGCTTTTAGACAGAGCCAACAGTCCTGAGCCAGGTCTGGTTGAGTCAGATTTAACATAGTGTGGATGGCTCCCAACATGGAGAAAAGGGAGGGAAGCAGTACTCGAGGGGTTCTGCTCTATTGGTAGCTAAGAGCGGATGCTTAGAAGGAGGGATAACAGGGTGAGGCTCAAGTAAGTGGTCCTTTATCTTCATTAAGGGTCCTGTTGGCTGTCTTGGTGTTTGGCTTAGCAACCGGGTTTGAAAGGTAATGATTTCCCCTGGGTCAGGAGTTAGTCCTCCAGGGAGCCAGAAGTGGAAGCCCCGATTCCATCCTGTGGCCCATTTAGAGTCCCGGGGCCTTTGTATCAGAATTGTAACTCAGCACCCACATTTCCAAACTATGATATCATTAGTGACATTTGGTTCCCCACTATAGGAGGCAATTTTTACACAGCCCCAGTTAGGGCAGTAGAAGTCAGTTGGGGACCCACAACCCTGCTGTTCAAATAGATTGAACCCTGGACATGCATAGAAGTCACAGCTTCCCAGGTTTATGAACTGATAGTAGTAGCTTCCCCAATCTCTTCTAAATAATTTACAGAGACTGACCTCAGGCAACCTGAGAGGTTGCCAGGGGCAGATGGTACCAAAAGTGACTACCTAGAATTTCTCCTGAGCTAAAGGAGGTGAGGAGAAAGG